TTTAATATAAATTAAAATAGTGTAGAAATATACTTGTAAAAGATCTGACTGTTTTATTCTGTGAAATTGTGTTGGGTTTCAACTCGGTTGTCAAACTTTTACTAAATTATTTTAACAACACCAATAAAATGTACAAGCCCAATTTAACAACAGTGGTGCTAACCCAAAGTTGTTAGGTACAATGTAAATGTGAGCACATGAGTGTAACCTACTTACCGCCCCAGTGCTCATCACAAACTGTAAAGAGGGTGGTTTTATTGGCTAAGCCTGGCAGCATACTGCTGCATTCCATGACGATGGCCTGAGGAATCATAATGATGCAGGAGACAATCCAGATGATGATGATGCTGTTTCGGGCCCGTTTGGCTGTGCTCTTGAACATCAAAGGGTGACAGATCGCATACCATCGGTCCAAGGCAATGCAGCTCAGTGTGAGGACGGACACAGATACTGACACAGTCTACAGGGGAAGGAAAGAAACATAACACAAGAGAATTGCTAGGTGTGGAAAGATTGTTATGAATATAACATAATTTTTAATTTGTGTTTTCAGCAATGTAGTTACAACAGATAAACAAATATGGGCACAAGTAATGATTCACAAAAATGATTCTAATCTGAAGAAATATATGATAAAAATAGAAATGTAAAAAAGTTTTAGGAATATTTTTATTTATTAGATGTGAATTAGTTGCTATGAAAACTTGGCAATTGTTTTTACGTTAAATGTTTGATTTACAATATCACATGCTTTGAATAATTACTATCATAATTTTGTTTTGCAGCTTTTCTACTGATAGTGAAAAAATATCTCAAATGGAAAAAATAATGCACATATGTTTAGTCTGTAACTGGAAAATTCTTTCTCACTTAAAGAAAGCTACATGGCATGTCTTTTAAATTATCATGTAGGAATTTCACTGGTTAAATTTAATTAGCATGGATAAATTATGGGTATCTCATTTCATATTTTCAAACAACAAAGGGCATTTCATCAGTTAACTTTCAGTATAATGTATGCAAATACAGACATGGATCACATTAAAAATGAATTCTGCACATGGACATGTGTGCTATAGTTTGTTTGCTGGAAGAATTGGACCTTGCTCCAGCAAACATGTAGATCCTCCCTGTACAGATTTGTAAATAAGTAACAATACCACAAATGATTCTTCAGCTTGTAAATTTAGGGAAATGAGAAACATTTAAACATGTCCATTTCCACATAATTGGTTTATGTACCTGTTTTTTTATTATTCTGTATCAGAAGAAGCATTGATTTAAAAGCATAGAATTAATTGAGATGCAAAATGCCTAACTCAAAACTGCCACGTAGGTGTTATGTATTTGCTATTATCAGTTCACTTGAAAGATTGACACTCAGTGTCATGGTGACCTCAGGTGTGATGCCTTCTTTGTTTTACAGTAATGTGACAGGATATGCCGGTCTGATTCTAATAATGGAAGCCATTAAATCTGTGGTAGAATCCATTGAAAAGACCCTTGACAATCCATGATTCAATATGTAGCATTTCAACTGCCATATTTGTAACTGTATTAAGATATCTACATGTGTTAAGATGTGTATGTAATTAGTATCCACTTAAGATTTTCTTGGGTCATATAACATTTCCTGTTATCATAAGTGATTGCACATGAGTGCCTTGTTACTGCTTCCCACTTCTAAGACTGCACTTCTGGGTGCATTTTTCATTTAGAGTCTATTAACTCATGTCAGAGAGTCATTTGAGTAATAAATCTACCATGAGTTATTTATGATTATTGTGAATACAGTGGAATGAGACAGGAGATACTTCTACCTTCTACTTGGGCTTTCACGAATATTCTGGATAACATTCACAGGGCAAAGCCTAGAGGGGTGTATGTTTTAAGCTACAGATAGGTGTTCCAAAAATATCCCAAATATCCATGACAAAGCACAGATTCAGATGACAGAAGCTAAGGGATCAGAAGGTAATTCAATGTAACTACAAGAGTATCAGGGCTTCTCTGACCCCCTACCACCCATCATCCACATCTCAGTGGGGTATTGTTCTTTTCCTGGCATTTTCTGTTCAAGACCTCTTAAGAAATTTTAAGCTTTCAAAGCATACTGACAAAGTTGCTATTGCACCTGTCAGTGTCAGTGAGCAAAGTACGTAATAATTGTTCACCAGTATGACCCAACAGATGTTACTGATCGTAGAATTACACAATCATTAAAGATCTAAGAAGGTCATTTTAATTATAAAGCTAAATTTCATTACATTTGTGAGATTTTCAAGTAGTTTAAGCATTTGCCAAAGCATTACAGCATATCACTCATAAATCTAAAATTGTATTATTTTACAAGAAAAAGAACATATAAATCATAGCAAGTTAGTGAAGGCCCAATACAACTAAATACTCTTAAAATGTAGCTCGACACTATGTAATAAGCTTTCAGTACTGAGGAGGTCACATATCAGGGATAAAAGCCATTAATTTCAGGCTCTCAAAACTAGGAGAAAAGATACTTAAACTGAAATGAGAGCCTTATGAATGAATTATTGAAATTCTAGGAGAAAGGACTCATTTATATGGATATTTCGGAGACGCTGGTTTGCCAGAGCAGGGATCTCTGTGTGCACTGACACCTTTCTAACAAGGGGTCATATTGAACGAGGGGAGAGATGAATGCATGGTTTTCTCCATCCTGTGATTATATATTAGTTTTCTCTTCTGAACTTGACTAAACCGGACAATATTTATTTAGGAACCAGAATCTCTGTGGAAATAAGGATATTCCTTTAATTCTAGGACAAGTTTATAAGTTGTATAATGTGAAATAATAACATCAGGGCGGGCATGGTGGTGCACGCCTTTAATCCGAGCACTCGGGAAGCAGAGGCAGGCAGATCTCTGTGAGTTCAAGGCCAGCCTGGTCTACATAGTGAGTTCCAGGCCAGCTGGGACTACATGGAGACCCTGTCTCAAAAAGACCAAACAAATAAATAAATAACATCAATGACTTTGAGAAAGACCCGTGCATGTGTCACTTGCTAACCATAGGAGGCTTCCTGACTTGGTCGGTGCTCACAGGGGACTCAGATGTGCCTCTCCTCAGTGAGCTTTCATTGTGTATCAGAGCAGGAGTGTGCACACCACAGGAGACGTGCCTTCGCCTCATTATTTACTGTCCGTCAAAATATCTGATTCACAGAAAACAGGAAGGTTCTCAGCTAACTGAGGATCTGGGCAGCTGAAACCGCCCTGAAACTAAAATGAATCTTTTCCTTGGACGATTAGAGGCACCAGAGAAATGAAAATTTTCTGGGAATCGCAGGGAGGTGCTCAAGTGTTTGAATTTCGTGCCAGCTTTATTTTACCAGTACCTGATTGCAAAGTCCATTAGAATCATATGTTCTTACTGATTTTTTTTCTATGAGAATATTTTTCTGTTGTTTATTGCACTATTTCTCCCAAATTTTTGCTAGTTTATTTTATAATCCTTTGATAGTTTTCAACAGGCTAGTCAGTCAAGCTTATAATTAAACATAATATATGCATGTACCTTATAACTTATATAGTATTTATTACTTCATCCTATGATATATTTTGTTAAAACATATTTATTCTCTTTATAAGAATTCCTGAATTGAGAGTCTGCGATATTTCAGTTTCACAAGACAAATAAATTTGTTTCTAGTAATGAATATCTGTCATCTCTCTCAGTTTTCTGTTAGTGGCTATGACCACTATCTTTTTATAAAAAATTGATTTGTTAATTTTTATTTTATGTATATGAGTGTATTGCTTGAGTGTATGTAAGTGCACCCATGTTGCTCAATGTCTGCAGAGGTCAGAAGAGGGCATTGGATCCCTAGGAACTGGAGTTAATGGATAGTTGTTAGCTGCCATGTGGGTCCTGGGAACGAAACCTGAGTCCTCTGCAAGAGCAGCCAGTGCCCTCAACCATTGAACCATCTCTTCAGTCCTATCTTGGGAATTTTTTCAACAAAGGTTTTAGAACTATAAAACAATCAGAAATTTACTCTTTTCAAATTATTTTCTGTTAAGTTCTCATATGTCAAATAGATACAGAAAACTGCTACCATTGTTTTCCACAAAAGCATCCAGTGATGACACTGCTCTAAGATCGTGAGAGGGTGAGATCCTGGTACCAAGAGACGTGGGCCCATTTCCTAAACAAACTGCCAGAAAGCTGCGTGGAGTAGCTCTTACTAAAGTGATCGTTTTCAGCGAGCGAGTTGCCAGAAGTCTGTGTTTTTTACTTGATCGTGTTCCATCTGGAGATGGCGAAACGGGTATTCCAAACCAAATCTGATGCCAAAACTGCCCACGCCCTGCTTCGTCCACATACTTCACAATTCCTCAGGATGAAAAGAAACTGTTTACAAAAATATCCATGATTATTTGGAAAAGCCAATATCCACAGTTATTTGAACTGGGAGAGGTTTAACCATTAATGTGTTCAAGTCACTTATTTAGCAATGAAAAAGTCTGTAATGGAGGAAATCAAATATTTGTGCAACAGCGTGAAGCAATTTGGCAGCGTTTTCTGCTTCAGTTTTATCTGGGCGTGAACTTTTTTTTTTTTTTCAGTAAATTTCAAGTATGACCTTCCTTATGTTTTCCAGTGTTTGAGCTTCTTTATTTATGTTGTGACTCAGTAATTTATCAGATAGTCATGTCTACAGTCGAGCACATTTAAAAATGAGTTCAGTGTTTGTATCAAAAAAACAATTACCTGTAAATAAGGAATGACCTTACAGAGGGACTGTCCAAAGAACCAGGTCTCAGTGATGTCCACAACCAGGGTAGCTGGGAGGCAGGTGATCGTTACAAGTACGTCAGCCAGGGACAGGTTAACTATAAAGTAGTTGGTTACTGTCCTCATGTGATGGTTCTTCCACACGGCCAAGCAGACTGATAAGGAAAACAAAAAACAGAGATGGGAAATAAACAAAGAGACTAGGCACCTGAGGAAGCATGTCTACCTAATTAATACTATCAAGTCCCTACATGTGTATCGAAAAGGAAAGAGTTTAAGACTGCTATTGCTACTGATTTCGTCCATCTGTGGAAATTGGGACTCAAAGCTCATTGCACTTACACCTGTATTTTTCATACATGAGTGCTTGCTCATTTCTACTTGATTTTGAATTGCATGTCTCAGAAGTGAAAGAAGAGCCTTTGATTTATTTTTTCTATTCCTTCAGTACTCAGTATGTAGAGAATCCTCAAGAAATAGTGGGTGAGTTGAGGAGAAGCACAGTTAACAGTCTTCAGTGATCTGTTGTGCTTTCCCTATGACCTTGACCTTCCCTATTTCTGTCTCTTCAATCTGTGTTTTGAACTCCAAAGGAAGAAAATAATTACCTTTGGAAGACTACCGCGACAACAGAACAACAAAGTAAAACAAAACAACAAAAAGTAGCCATCACCAAACTCTATTTTGAAATGAGAGCCCAACAATGCATGCATTTATGCCGTCTGATTCCGACAAGTGTTTCAGGAAGACATCATCAGCCACATTTCAGCGATGAGTTAACTGAGACCAAGACATTTGCTGGACTTGCCTAAGAACTCATAATGCATAAAAGTAGTTAACGACCAAGATTTAGTTCCAAGTGAAAAGCTGTCTTCTTTCCTGAAAATCAGAAGGCTCTAACAAAGTATATTTAAATTCTACACACCAATCCTCTCCTTTCTATTGTTCTTGATGACCTGTAAACATCATCCTCAAATCAAACATGATGTTTAATTTCTTATTGCATCACAGAATGCCCTTGTTAAACCTGTGCTATCCCGCTCAGCTGCTCTTTACTGAAAGGACACCAAGTTCCTCCATTTTCTGTCCTCCACCTGACTTGCGTACATGACAGTTCAAAACCACCAGCCTCAGATCAGATAGGTGTAGGCACTGCTACATCCTACACGAAGGACCTTCAGCAAATAAGAGTGTAATTGTATGTGGGCTTCATTAGCCTGTCAGAACATCCACCTCTGCCCAAATGGCACACTGATTGGTGTATGTAGCACAGAAATAAAATCATATTTTGTTCAATTTAACTCCCTGAGTAACGAATTATTTTTGACAATTATCTACCATTAAGAGTTTCACATGTTGGAAAATACTTTAACTAGGTCCTAAGACTGAAATTGGTTGCCAAGTACCAATTCAATTTAATTTAATAAAATAGTTATATTTTGGAGAATTTAGTTTTGACTAGTTTGCATGTTTTTCTAATATAACATCAGCACAATAATGCCCAAATTTCAGGTGGCTTTAATTGCAGTATACTGCAGTTCATTTACAAAAAAAGATGCTGTGAAATAATTTATTTCCCAGAAATACTTGAAGCACAAACACGCACAAACCCATCCTAACAACTGAAAAACACATTCTCATAGTTTGCAATGAAAAAATGGAAAATAATACCATAAGTTTGCTACTTGCTCAGCATATGGTCAAATTGTACAAAATTAGATCTAGAAATAGTCCTTCTGTCCTTCCAAGCCTGGCCCTGCTCCTTCCTAACGTTGCATGGTCTCCAAGCAACCATGGCTGAATCTGGAAACATTTACCTGTGTAACTTAAGTCTCTGCCTTTGAGTCACATGACATTTTCCTTTGTCTCTGTCTTCTGTGATCATCTCCTTACATGAATAATATTCAATAGAACTACATCTTTACCCTAGTGCATTATGACTTCATTTAAAGAAGTGTTTCATCTGCAATGACCCGATTTCCGGAAATCATCTGAGATAATAGAGATGGGGACTTCATTATGTTTTCGGCATGGTGGTGGGGGGGGGCACAATTCAACAGTAACAACATCAGCTTGCACATTTCAAGACCGTAGCTATTTCCTTTCTCCAGCCTTTGCTCTCTAGTCCAAATCTTCAGACCCGCCATATGCATGTATCATGCTCCGAATCCCTTGTCACCCTGTCCCGATGTTCTGAAGAAGCTCTAGATTATCAACAATGGGTCTCAATGAGTCATTTGCAAGTACACAAACTTCTGTTATGTACCCAGAGTATTGAAGACCAGGGTGACTGCTTTATTTACTATCTCTGTTCAGAGGATCTGAGATCATGTAAGGTTTTTAATGGTCAAGTCACATTTCTGAGTTATAGAGGAATCAAAATGGTGAAAACTTACTTTCTTTTCCAGATGTTGGACAACTTTACCTCATATATTTCATTAGTTTTCTTATTCTTGCAACAAAATACATGACAAAAGCGACTTAAGGAAGGGAGGACTTATTTTGGTTCCCAGATCAAGGATACAGTCAGTCATAGCTGAGAAGACATCGCAAGAGGTAATTTGGGCAGCTGGTCACACTGGTTGCGAAGCCCAGGAAAGAAAGGGAAGAACCTTACCTTGCTTTCTCCTTCGTATTTAGTCTGGGACTCCTGCCCATGGAGGGTGACACACACATTTAGTGTTGGCCTTCCCACCTCAATTACCCCAGTCCACACAATCTGTCACAGACATGCCCAGAGCTTGTCTCCTTTGTAATTCTAAATCCTTTAACACTGAAAATCAACAGTAACCACAACACATTGTGATACTACAGAGGTAACAAAAAGAAAAAGGTGCACTAAACACTATCTCTGAGCCTACTGGAGCAATTTAAATTTGAGCTTTGTGTTACATTTAATTTCTCTGTCATTTAAAAATAAGTGACGTATAGTGTTTACATTGTCTGTTCAAATGCTTATAGACTCTGGTTAGAGCCTGCTTCTCTGGGAAGGCATCATCATTCCACTCATTCAAGGAGGATAGTTCTGCCCCTCTTGGCCCTGGCCTCTTGTGAACACATTTCACATATTCAGGCTCGCTTTCTAAATGACCTGTGGAGAACTGCACACATTTCTTTGCATACAGATTTTCAGAATATGCATTTGTCTGTTTATTCATTCATTAAAGACCTAAGGTACAAAGTAAATACTGAGAAACTTGTTACATATTTATGGAAAACATCCTTTCTTGTAGGTCTACAAAAAGTACAGGATATACAGGATGTTACTGTTCTCTAGAGCTGCCCCACTGTACACCGACACACCCGAACTTCTTCCTGTTGTTTAACTGTGACCCTGGATCAGTGTTTCTACTCCATCCCACCCTGCTCTCCTTAGCTCCTCTAACCACATGTGAATGAGATTGTACACACTTGTCTTCATGTTGTTGACTTGTTTCACTGAATGCAATGCTGCCTAGTTCCACCCTTATTGTTGAACTAGACAGGACTTCCTGGTTTGCCTGGATAGCATTCCGTTTTGTTTTGGTAACACGCGTTCTTTATTCGCCCCTCAATTGTTGATCCTTACTGTTCCTTGGCAAATGTAAATGGTGCTGCAAAGAACAGGGCAGCTCCTGCCTCTTGGGCATTCTAACCTCATTTTCTTTGGATATTTATCTAGCACTACAGTTCTGGATCATATGTTATTTCTTTTTATTTTTGAAGAATCTTCATGTTATTTTCCACAGAGCTTGTAGGAGTTCATATTTTCACAGTGTGCAAGGGCTCCTCATTTCCTCGTGCTCAATGGTGTCTACTATCTTTAGCCTTCTTGATAATAGGCGTTGGTAGCAAAGTGTCAACCTCAAGTTTTAAACACAGAATGGAAATGCCTAGTGGCTAATTTTATAAATTTTTAAAATTTAATAACCACATGATTAGAAGAAGTATTTCATTACAGCTTTAACATATTCAGTAACACATTCCAGAGCAAGAGTACATCTCTTTAACAAGTGGGTGCAAGTTTCTAGGTTCACAGTTGAATTAATAAACACTCATATACAT